AGAGACGGGGTTTCACCATTTTGACCAGGATGGTCTCGATCTCTTGACCTCGTGATCCACCCACCTCGGCCTCCCAAAGTGCTGGGATTACAGGCGTGAGCCACCGCGCCTGGCCAATTCTCTGTTTTTTAAACAATAATTTATCTTTATTATAAATAAATTGATCAATGCAGATAATTAAATATAATGAAATGAAATTTCTTACAAGTCTAAAAGTATCATTATTAGTACTGAGGAAAATTATTCTAGACATCTTTCTATACATATACAGAGAGAAGGACATACAGTTAAGGAAAAATAAATTCTTTATTAAAAATAGAATTATAGGGAGGAGGACCCAAGATGGCCGTTTAGGAACAGCTCAGGATTGCAGCTCCCAGTGAAAGCGCAGAGTGTGAGTGGACGCCGCATTTTTATTGCCCACAGATTGGAAATTCCCAGGCAGAGGAGCTCCATGGGTCGCCAGCGCGGCTGTTTCGGCCAGCGCGCGCCTCTGCTTTGTCCTGTGCGGCTGCTTTGTCGGCGCACCAGAGTAGCAGTTCTCCGTACAAAATACACCGGTCTGGGTGCCCTTTTGGCTGGCGATTGGAGCCACGGGAACCCGCCCATTCATCTGTTTAAAAAGGGGACTGAGCAGGGAGCCAGGACAGTAGATTCCAGGGCAAAAAAAGCGCCACAGATCTCAGTGCCGCTGTTTAAGCCAGCACAGTGAGTTGTCACACGGGAAAAAACACACACCATGGCGCCTCTTCAACAGACGACTGGAACACCAACTTTAAAAAAAAAAAAAACAAGGCTCTGAGGCAGGGAGCCAGATGATCAGGCTCAGCTGGTCCCACCCCCACAAAAGAACAGCAACCAGAAACTCTGGATTGAGAGTTCCATAGCAAGTGCAGCTGAACCTGGGACAGTCCAGCTCTATGGAGGAGGGGCGTCTGCCATTACCGAGGCAGCCCACCGCTGCGGAGGCAGTCAACCAATGCTGAGGCAGCCCGCCATTGCCAAGGCAACCCGCCACTGCAGAGAGGCTCCGCCTTAACAGAGGCGGGCCACCATTGCTGAGGCAGTTCTAACTACACCCATATAAGCAGGACTGCAGGGAAGTTCACTCGGCAACTGGGCGGAGCCTACAGCAGCTAAGCAAAGCCTCTACAGACAGACAGTGACTAGGCTGCTTCCTTGCTGGACAGGGCAGCTCTGAAGGAAAAAAAAAAAGAGAAGGCAGCAGCATAACCGAAACTCATAAAGCCCTAAATCCCTGGGACAGAGCACCTGGGAACAAAAAGTAGTTTATGAGTTCTGCTGCAGTGGACCTAAACGTACCTACCCAGCAACTCTGAATGAACAACAGAGCTCACAGCTCAGCATTTGAGCTCCTATAAAGAAGAGACCATCTCCTCAAGTAGCTCCCTGACCCCTATGTATCCAAAGAGCCACCTCATAAAAGAGAGATCAGATTGACACTAGGCGGGTATCCTTTTGGGACAAAGATAGCAGAAGAAGAAAACTGATAACCCGTACTGTTCAGCAGCTGCTGCAGGTGAACCCCAGGCAAGCAGGGCCTGGAGTGGACCTCAGCAGACCTATAGCAGAGGGGCCAGACTGTCAGAAGGA